ACCCATGAATTACTGAGTTGTTACTCTTATTTCCAATGCTGCTACTTTGACACCCTAATAAAAGAGCGAATTTATGACTCTGAAAGTTTGCTGCGTACTAGATGGAAAAAAACTACAGCTGTGAAATATCAAGATTGAGATTTTAATCATAGAAAAACAGAAAAATGGAAAGAAGGTATTTCTGGAATACTACTATCTTTGCCTTTTCAGGCTTATGTACCTTTACACGTTACTCCCTATAAAGGACTTACTATACATGGCAATTCTTACAGAACTGTAAACGTGGAGAACAGTTCTGCAACTCCCTAATTGCAGGAGAAACTAAATATTTCTACTGTACTTTCATTGAATTCAGGCCGTTTTTCTTGTTTTGGATAAGCACTTTGGGGTTGTGAGTCCGGAATGTGGAAAAAATAAAAGGAACATGCAAAAAAGAAGTGCCTGAAGGGCAACCTTCTTATTGAGACTGTCTGAAACAGTAAGTCATATCTTGTACCATACCACACAGTTAATAAGAAGTGGATTAGTGAAGCCAGTTTGCTACAGAAGCAGTAACTTCTGGGAGAAGAGGCTGCAGTTTACAGTCTCTTACATCTGCAAGGGTTTTGCCCCATGAGGGAATCATACCTGCTGTGTAATCCAGAGTCCTGGTAGGTTTACAACTTCCTAACCAGGAAAGAAAAAAAGGTTTAACTCTTTCCCACATAGAAACTGCTTAGGATATTACTAGATTAAAATATCTATATTGTGAGAAATAGGAAATTAGGCACTTGACCATGAAATTTCACCTACACTTCCTTTTTTATCCTTGCAGGATAATTTCAAAAAGAGTCAGGCTAATCCTCACTGCTCTGGAGTTCCTTAGTCTTGTGAACTTAGTTTAGACCAGTTCTGAGAGTGTCACTGTCCAAGCTCACTGGCAATACCCAAAAGTCAACCTGAGCTCCTGCCTTCTCAAGTAAAACAAATCAGAGATCAAGGCTGTCTGGAGTTAGGTGCCGTGGGGCTATGCTTTCTATTCTCATGTAGTGTAACATTCTGTTGGAAGGAGAAGATAAAAAAAAAAAAAAAGTATACTACCAATCTGGGACCAAGTCAAAAAATTAAAGTCAAAGGACACCAGAAAAATAAGAGCTGCATCTAACTAGCATTTTATTTTTTTTGGTTAGTGAGGACTTACAAGGCTATTCAACTTGATTCCCAGCTGCTGGCTGAGTTAGAAGGAAAAGAGACTGCCGGGAGAAAGGAGGAATTAAACAACCACCTCTCATGGCTGTTCTTTGTCAGAGTAGGTCTCTGCCAGACAAACAGCACATATGTCAGCTCCTTCAGGTCTGCTCTCCATATAGGCCAACTGAAATGAATGGGGTTTTGGCAGAAGTAATGCTACTGTGAGCAAAACTACAAGAATCCACTACTTAGTTTTTTACCCGATGCCCTGCTTTTGAAGAGTTCCCCACACATATACTGAATTCTATTAAACCTAAACCATATACTGAATTCTGTTAAAAATGATCAAAATGATTTCCGTGGATTTGCAGCACCTTTCAAAATCTGAACCTAAAACTGATCTGAATTCTCTCTGGCCCATAATGACAGCCCAAGAACCCTAAACTCACTGCTTAGCAATTTTTGCTTTTACTATTTTGAAGCATGTCTCATGTGCATCTTACAGATTTCTTAGGAAGCCCGATGTAACTAGTGTATTGCAAAAATTACAACTTCCTCTAACTTGCACATCTGTTCTCTTATATATGCAAGATTGCTAACACAGCCCTGGCATAAGAAAGTATAGGCAACAGGAGAATAAGACCTACTGCTGCTAAATCTTAGCTGGAAGGAACACCGAGGAGCAGCAGCACATAGAAACAGCTCATGCACCAGAGCCGGGCCATTTACAGCTCTTGTGTGTAATCCACTTACTTATCTCCTATTTTACAGTTCTCATTTACGTTATGGAAGGGCAGATTGTGGAATGCTACGGTATGGCTTTTCTGGGTATAGTGTCAAAACGTAGCTCCCCAGCACGGAAGTAATTTAGTTGCCAGGATCACTTAAAAGCATATACAACTTCTAAAGGTGAAGAGGAAAGCAATAGGAGAGGAAGAAAGTTTACAGCCAGCACATCGTTTTTTTCTTAGTAAAAAAGACATTCTCTTTGTTTCCCCGTTTAACTAGACTGGGTCAGATTTTCCTCTGGAAGAAAAAGAGGCATGATTTCACTAAATTTGTGGAACTAATCCATTTTATCCCAGCAAAAGATATGTCCCTAGACTCTTGATTTCTGATCCGTGAGAACAAAATAAGGCCCTGTGTGTGATTAAGTAATTAAAAAAAAAGCTACTTTAATGTTCAGTAAATACTGTAAATCTGGTTAAGCTGACAAAACATTACCTTATTTGCAAAAAATGACTCTCATAAGCACTTTCAGTGTTGTCTAAAAGACAGAATTTACTTTCTTTTCCCAGTAAAACTTGCTGACACACTTATACATTGACTTGTTTATTATGCATGTCTATTTTGGGTGCCTATTTTAAAATATTATTCTTAATAGAAGTATTCCAGTTATTTTCTGTTCTTGGTAGATCAATGATCCAGGAAAGGCCCTGAATATGCTGAAAGGCCAGTTATTAGTAACTGTGAATGATTTTCAAAGAGACTGCTAGAAATTGCCACATTTAAATCAAAGAGCCAGGTCCTGACCATCTCCTTGTATCCCTAACAAAGCGTATTAACAAAGCATAAAGATCCGAATTCTGGGTCTTTATTAGTTACTGCTAGCATGCTCAGACCATCTTTAGAGGAGCTTCATAATTCAGGATATTTAATTTATTGTAGTATAATGCAAATAGTGGCAGTTGTCTATCATATCCTTTTCACTGTAACAGAGGTAACACTATCAACTTTATTATGAAACTAATGATATGTTTGGTGTTATATCTAGCAGGCATGGAATGGTCCTGTCCCAAGAAATCTCTCTCAAACACTTTTGTTTCAGTTTTCATAACTGAAAAAGAACATACAGTCCTACCAAAATCAACGGAAATATATATCTAACCAAAACAGTATGGCAAATGTATCACAGCACTTATGTATAATGCATGTATTCAGAATCATGAAAGTTTTGGGCATCAGTATACACAGCCAGTGGCACTTTAGATTTAATTTATTTCCAGAAACATGAAAGGTGTTAAGTTGAATAGCCCATTTTACTCATACTGATATGAGGGGAGTTACCATGTGTGCCAATACAACTAGATTGGGCAACTGCCTACTATGTTGCATGCCTTTGGTTTTGTTTTAATAAATGTGAGAGATGGGAAGATGAGAGGGAAAAAGTAGCTCTCAAGAATGCCTAGTCTTCTCCTTCAACTTGAAATACAAATGAGTTTCTTGCTATTTACTGTAGCAGAAATGTTAGATCTGCATGCACGCCTCCATCCTCCCCATACATAAGTATCACATTATCTAACAATGCAGAATCTATGAACTTCCAAGATTTTAAAGTTTGATATGTAAATTCAAAAATTTCACTCTAAACTGTCCACATACACTGTAAGGTCCAATACTTCTTTTCTTAAACCTCATTAAATAATGTGCTATTATGCAGACAATAACTAATTGCTATACTGATTTTTATAAGCATCCCTGCACCACAAGAGATGTTTCTGTACTCTGAATAGATGATAAGCAATGTTCCTGTTATATCATTTACCTCTTATTTGTACACAAGTCTTTAAGAAACCTATCTTTACCCCTCATGGCTCAACACACATGGTTTGAGTAAAAATGCGTGTGTTGCTGCATTGGGCCTTTCTGAACGGCAGTTGTGACTTCTGGAAGTTGTGACCTTCTCAAAGCAAAAATTCATCTATAAAATCTACTGCATAGATTTTTCTGTGCCCTGCTAAATGTAATACATTCTATTTTTGAGAAAGTATGAAAGCACGTCCATAGCCTAAATGCAGTCAAAACATGTAGTATTTATTTTGGACTGTTTTCGCAATAAGGATGCTAATTTGAGAGACTGGCCATGGCACAAGCAGCACAAGAAAGAAGAAGGAAAGAGTGGTGTGTTACTGACTTGGAGGCCAATTTCTAGTATGCCTTTCAAATAATATACAGCTGGCACATATACATCCTCTTTTGATTTACGAATTGAAGGGCTATAATTTTCCTTTTACGTATTCTTTTGACTTTTTTTCCCACCACCATTACCGCTCCAAGCAAGAAAAGCAAGGAACTTTCAATGACACCTAAATCTATATTGTTTCCTACCATCACCACTCCACCTTTCTCAAACCAAAGCAATTGCAACTTCTGTTTCAAAAGAATCCTTTGTCTAACGTTAACTCTCTCCATATAATGCCAGCCTGTCAAAAGAGCGAACTTCTTTTTATTTTCCTCTTGCTCTGTGAAGCCCAAACATATTATACCATGCACGTTTGAGTGAAGAAAGAATAAAAGGTGAAGCATATGAACGCTTCTGCCCAAACGGCAGGGATACACTTTTAGAGCAGTGTGAAGGGATTTAGATGTGTGACTTCCAATTACCTTAATGGCAGCCATCTGGTTCAATCCCAATGCATCACGCTGAAATCTTACCCCATACTGCATGTAAGTAATGTAGTAATTTGCAACAGGCCATCTCTATTGGTCAAGAGCTAAGAAGGGATATTTTGGAAAAAGAAAAGACTTTGCCTTTATCCTAGCACCAGAATAATTATTGTGCCTGGAACAAAAACCAAGAGAAAGTAACACCAATCTCTCTGCTCTCTTCCCTACCTCTATTTTCACTACAAAAGAGACTCTTCTTGTCAGACACCTGAGAACATATTCAATTTTGCCAGTTCCACAGGGAAAGATACTGTTTCACATAAATTACTCAGTAATTTCAAATAATCCCTGAAACTGGTGTCTCAGATTACAACTTTTTCTCACAGCGTTTGTCCAAGAAACACAGAGCAAACTACATTTGTCAACAGCAGATATGAACTCACCTTATTACAAAGTCATGGCTATCAATCTCCTTTCCACATCCACTGTCCAGGAGGATGCCAGAATTCCCAACAACTGCACAGGTTTTAAATCGCCGATTCTTCATGGGGGAAACCTCGGGGAGGAGGCTGTGCAAGTCCTGCGAGATGTTCAGCGTGCGGCGCCTGTCCAACACGTAATGGATTACGTCCCCTGGCTTGAAGCTGCTTTTGACCACCGAGACATCCCTTTCAGCATCCAAGAACCGAAGGATGTTCTTCCTGTCAGTCAACAGAAAGGCAGAGATAAGACCCAGTACTCAGCCTTCACATGGAGCTGATGTGGCAGTAGCAGCAACCCGAAGTTGAGGGCAGACTGCTTCAGATGGACTAAGGTCATCTCCCAAGCTCTGGAAAAGCTAAAGCAAAGCTGTTAGGGCAGAAATCAAAAGCTTGATTACAATATTACCTATAAACATTACAGTGCATAGAGCTCACCTACTTCATACACATAAAGGCACTGACTGACCTGACTGGCATGATGACTCTAAAACTTAGAGGGAGCATTATTTTTGATTAATATTTAAAAAAAAAAGGACAAAAACAGAGCACAACTGCTTTTTCTAAAACTACATTAGTGAGAAGATGGAGTTTTATGAGCTACAGAATATATGCTTCACTATCCTCTCTCAAAAGTCAGTTTGGTTCAGCAATGACCATGTTTTCCTTTAGATTGTTATTTCACTGCAAGAATAATGTATTTAGCTCAGCTTAAACTTGCTCCTAATTAACTAAAGGCTCAGTCAAAGTTATCCCAATTAACTTGAAATAAGAACACCCTCAGTCTTTCGTACCCATTTAACAAAATCAGCTTAAAACCATGCTGCAAATTGAAGGACTGCAGCTTAGCATGCAGCCTGCCCATTAGCTAAGCACAGAGCAGCACTTCTTGGGAACTCTTATCATCACTGTAAATCAGTTTAGTTCAATCCCTTAGCTTGGGTCTCTGCAATTAAGCATTTAAACAGCTAACCAGGGTTTAGCTGCTCACGATCAAGCTATCAGATAGCACAGATCCAGGGGACGGGGTAATTAAGCACTTGTATGCTCCCAATCCACAGCAAACAGCAGGCAAAGTACATCTGCTTAAATGTCAACGGAGGATGCTAAGTCACAGCAATTTGTACCTGCTTGTGAAGTCTAAGAGGGAGGATTGAGAAAAAAAAAAAAACAAACAAAAAAAACACTCTTTAAATTCACCAGCTCAGACTATTAGAACAGGCATCTTTAAGGCAATGGTTCAGCATGGACTGGCACCTGCATTTAGTCCTTGCAGTTACGAGCCGGAAAGAACCTCAGCTGCCACCACAGGCCCCGTCAGCCAGGGACCATGAGTGGAGGGCCCAGCCTCCACACCACGGTGATATTTTCCACTGGCGTCAGCAGGTGGGAGATCATTTAAAACACAGTGTTTTGTTGAGTAAGAGGATGCTATTTTTACATAATCATTTTTGAGCAGAACTTCCTTAGATGGGACCAAAACAGGAAGAACTGCTAACTAGACACGGCATGGTACTGGGGAACCATCGTGGCCGCAGGCAGAGAGGGCCAAGCCGCAGGGAACCATCCCGGCTGGCATCAGGCTGGGACAGGTGGCGGAAGCCCCTGGAGCCCAGCCGGCCACTGGGGCTGCATTTGGGACCGGCCACTTGCAGCCCCTCGCACCAAGCGCTTGCACTGGGATCAACCTTGCAAGCTGAAGGGGAAGTGAAACACGATAAAAACTTTGTTTTCAAGTATTTCCTCTCTCTTCTTAAGCTATGAGGGAGGAAAGAATAGGGGAAGGCATCTGAGGCTCCCTTCTGCAGCCGCTGCATGGATAAAGCAGCACCAGGGCAAGGATGTTCGTGCCGAGGCTGACAAGGGTCTCCCAGGAGCAAAGCGGAAGGGAGGTTATTCAAACCTCAAGTGCTTAAAGCTTTTGGCAAGTGGCATAAAAGACCAGGAAAGACATTCCTGTAAAGCACAATAAAGCTTCTTCCTCAGCCTGCAAGTTCAAGTGGACTTAAAAGCCCCGTGGGCTTGATAAGCCTTGTTTTGTGGGCACCCTGCAAGAGATGAATATGTAAACAGCTATAAAATGAAAAAGAGACGGAAAGAAGAAATCGACTGATCCAGCAGCATTGGAAACAAATTAAAATATTAAATACCAAGACAAAAGCCACTGTGTGCAGACCCAGGCAGATGCAGCAGGGAGCTCTTTGGGGATCCCCCTCACAGGGACCCTTTCCTGAGCTGCAAAAAGGCAGAAACATGGACAGAACTGTTATTACTTGTGGTAGCAGAGAGGCAACACTGGTGCAGACAGTGTGAGCATCTCCATGTTATTTTAATACACATGAAACTGCATTAGAGAAATAGTGACAAAAAATAAGACAGGGCCTTGGCTTCCTCCATTAACCTGAAGAGGGTAGCTAGCAGGCAGCATTTGCTACGTCTGCTTAGGCTCAGGAAAGCCTTACACTGGGTTTCAAATGGAGATGGCATTAGATTCAGGTAAATGAGCAATCATTAAGAGAGCTGAAATTTCAAAAATGCCTAAGGGATTTATTTTTCCTTAGAACTTTGAGATGGCCAGAAGTCACTGAATCTTAGTATGTTCTGACCTGTCTAAAAGCTTGTTTTTAGCTGAAGCTGTGGGTAGCACATGCAATGGTAAATGTAGGAGCAGGTGTCGGAGGATTTGTGAGAATCCCTGCCCCCGTGCAAGACGTGCAATAACCCTCACATTAAAACATTCTTAATTGGTCCACTTGACCGTGTCTAAATATTTTTAATCCTGGAAGAACTGTGATTCAGTGTGCAGATGTCTGTGCCATTGTTTTAAGTTCCTCTGCTCCCCTGACTCACCCATAGTGCATGGATGTTGGCACTTGCCCTTTCCTCAAGGTGCTAAGGGGAGAACTATACTAAGGGATATGACAAAAACTAAGTGCTAACTTACTCACATTCAGAAATTTCATGGCTCAATTAGAGAAGGGAGGGGAGGACATGATTTTCAGTGACCCTCAAAGCAAAGACGCTGTATGGAAGGAACCTCTGTGAGCACAAACCACACCATGAAATAAACCATTTTTCTGAGGTGGGGCTGAAGTTTTGTTTTTGATGAACAAAACGGCCCCGGGGTGCATCCAGAGCCTGATGTGCGCAGGTGGCCACAGAGGCCAGTGGGGCTGGCTGGGGCCCAGCAGCTGTTTGCAACCTGCTCTGCGACTCTCAGAAACACACTGCAACAAGCTGTGCTTGACCTGGGTTTGTTTTGATAAATAGAAACAGATGTTCAAACTGCTCCAGCGCCGAGTGCAACGCCTGGTTATCTGATGAAGCGTATTTAACAGATACCACCGCCTTTGCATAGCTCTCCAAAAGATATAAATATGTCACCACATTACCTCGGAATAATACATGTTTTCTATTTATACGCACAACAGTCTGCACTACACAACAGTATCGTCCCGTGGCAACCTCTCCCACATCCATCACAGAGCCTCTTGCACTAAGAAAAAACAAACAAATCACTTAAGTATTTGACTTCTAGGAACAAACTTTTGAGTAAGTTTCCAAGCATGTCAGTGCTGGAAAGCCTCACCTCACCCCTCTGCAATCCATTTCCCTGACTCCCTGTCCTCCTGAAGGGCAAACTGGGGTCGGACCCGCTGTACCTGAAGCCCTTCCTGTTCCATGTACCTTGCACATGGAGAACCGACAGTCATCAGCTAATAGAGGTCCTGCACTGCAGCAACAGCCTTCACACACTTGAGGCTAATAAACCCTTTTTTTTTAAATATAATGCATGTTTTTTTAAGACCTCTCTGCCTTTCTGCTGCTCTCCTGTGGACTCTCCCCAAGGGGTTCACACAGACCCTTCCACATTCCAGCGATTTGCCAGCGATTCACCCTGCACCCTACGGAGCCCTGCTGCTGCCCTTCACCCTCTGCCTGGCCTGCAGGAGGCAGCTCAGCTCTGAGTCAGCGAGGAAGACAACTTGGGTGAACACGTGGCACATTAGAACCCACTTTCCTTGAAGAAGTGCTCCAGAAACTACCTTTGGGCCAGAGGAAAACAAACCTCAGGTCAAGCGCTTGGCCCCGTGTACAATCACCCGCCTGTGGCTCCAAGACACCTCGAGGGCAGATTGTGGCTCTGCGCTCCCGCACACTCCGGGCTTACCTTGTTGGTTTTACACGGGCACACTAAAAACACCCGCCTCAAAGTTGCCGTGTTTTGCAACTCTGCTTGCCCTCAGCACCTAGGGAGAAACTCATAGCGAAAACTCAAGCCGCATCCGCAGCCTTGAGCAAGGGGGAGGCGCACAACGTGGTGTGATTAACCATCCTGCCATCCCAGTATTTCCTTCCTACGTGCTCTCTATGTGTATTGATCACAAGGAGGCTTTTAACAAACTGAAACCAGTTAGGACTTTTAAGCATAGTTTTAGCACTTTGTGCTCCTAAACACGTGCTTTATGTGACGATGGGGAGGACTTTTCATGTGCTATCAAAACAGGAGATCAGTGGCTTGTCTTTCTGAAGAACGGCTGAATACGGGAAGGCCAAGAATCACATCTCAAGAATTTATTTGCTCTGTAATATATATAACCAGCCCAATATACAACCAGCCAACATCCAGTGTTTTTACTGAGCACTCCTCCAGATCAACCTGAAGGAGATATCTTGCAACTCTGGTGAACGTTGCACACAAGTTTCCACTTGCCACTCAAGCAAGATGACCAAACATATATTTTTCCTATATTTTTCCTCACTGTGGCCATGCCACAGTCCTCGAGTGGGATCACAACAGGGAAGGAAGGACTTGAAAACCCAGCGTGCTTGGCCACTGCTTAGCACTTGAGGACAAATTACAGCTGCTTCATACCATCTTGCAAGAAAACTAATGACAGCAGTTTGAGCCCTTCTGGGAGGGAAGTCTCTTTTTTTCCTCCTCTAAACAAAACTGTTAACATATTACAAGTTCTCACACTTCTCTGACAGGAATTCTCCACTCATCAAGTTCTCAGCCACATCACAAACAGATAAGCACATCCTAGTCACAAACGGGTTTTTTTTTTTAACTTCATTTTGCCTTCCTGTGATTCAAAACCTTTATCCGCTCCTTCCAACGCAAATACATGTCCCCACTTGATCAAAAGAGGAGGAAAATGAAAATCATGCACTGAAGCCTCGATGGCTGCATTTCATTTCACAGAGACCACAGAGGTGCTGGTACAGCACCAGCTCTGCTCAAGATGCACACGGGTTTGCACCACCTCAGCCACATCTCTGTTCTGAAAGCACAGTCTTGAATGGAATTGAAAATTCCCATTTTCCATAACTTGAAAATCTTCACATTGCCACAGACAATGGAATTTAGATACAAAACCCCATAGAAAGGGGACCCTCTTGCTCTTCATCCCAAGTGACTGAATCATTCAGTCAAGGATCAGGCAAGCAGTCTTCTTTCCTCGGGCAGCAGAATTACTAATTATCCTTAAAAGAAATTGCCAACAATGAGAAGGTATCATCCATTCAAAAAAATTCACTCTCCCACTGGTACAGTCATGATTGTAAGGCAGCAGATTTGCTGCAGGCTCTAGTAATGAACTAACAATATCCACCATCCCCACCTCTGTTATGCAAAGTCTAGCTCTTTCATCCAAGCAGGCACCACCAAAGGGGCTGCTGAACCCACTCAATTGGGTCTTCTGCTCACAAAGTCCATCAGAGCGTCTTGAGAGCCCAGATACCTCGTGGAAGCTCTTTCTCTTCCCAGGGGTCCTGCTTATGGAGCTGTTTCACTCATCGATTCCTAGGACCTGGTCAAGAATTCACTTCCAACAGGAAACAGAAGAGACCTCTGCAGCTGATAAAAAGTGGTCATTAGCCTGAACAAATATAAAATGGCCGGAGTGGACAGGGCAACAAGGCAAATAGCTAAAGACAATGTCCCAGCTACTAAACTGCTAGTCCAGACACAGTACAAATCACAATGCAAAACTCGCTATCACATTTTCTTCACATTTTAAGTTTTTTATTGCAGATGCCAAGCTGAGGTAAGACACAACAGTAGCTGCCATTTTAGGATGATTATAAGTTTTATGAAATGCCTGTGTGCTGTACATTAATGGGTTCACAAATTGTTTCTCCACTGCTAAGAAGTGACAAGGTTTTACACATTATTCAACCAGTGCTAGTTTGGTTTTTTATTATTATGTTTCTCTCTTGTCAGTATTTGCTATGGCAAACCTCACACCACAATTCAAACACTATTCACATTAACAGTTGCAATCACAGCGCATGAATCATCTTCACGATCTACACAGAGCGGGTAACGTACTCTGGAGGACTCAACTGTTAGTCTCAACATAAGAACACTCCAAGGGAATGCTATGTACATTTAAAGTTAGTCCTGATACCTCTACAAGTGTAAAAATATTTACAGTTAAGATGTTTCTCACTGCTGTGACAGGGAAGAAAGTTGTACTTTTGCAAACCTCCTGCAAAAGCGAAAGAAGAACACGTGTTGTTTAGTCAGCACAAGAGTGGGACCCACATTACACAGGGCTGTTTGTGGTTTCTGCAAGGAAAGAAAACATGCCCACCTCCCTTCCCTTGCTGCTGAGGAGCATACCCAAGTGTGTCGTGCATGGAGAGGACCTGCACCGATAGAGCTGTTTCCTTGGTCAATTTTTGGCCCCACATCACATTAATCTAAAATCTTCCATCAGATCAGTCAAAACACCTACGTGTGCCCCGGATCAGCTAGCTGTCCATCAGGATAGCTATCTCACCGCCAAAAGAGACCAAGGTGGCATCTGAGTAAGCTCAACTTCACGCACTCTATTACACAGAAAATCTCTATGCTGACCAAGTGGGATCTTTACTGACAAAACTAGTGTACAGGATTAACGTTTTTCTTCACTGAGACAAAAAAACACCCTTTATTGTGTAGTTTTTAAAAACCACCGAGTAATCAGTCGTGGTGTTTCTAATGAGCACATTTATAAAGTAAGAGAACTTTCTCATCCTCCAACAGGAAGAAGAAAAAGGCTTAATTTTTGAAACTCATAGCTTATGGTAGAGCAAGATGGTATCAACGTAGTAAGAAGCTTAAAAATGCTCAAAGTATTTGAGTATGAGCATTCAAAGTACTCAAAATACTCAAAAGTCAAAAGTGTTTGAGTTTTTTGTCCAAATGAGACTGTTTGCTTTGGAAACAGACAAGAAATGATTATCTCGGAATTATGCCAAACTCCAATTTCTCTCTCAAATTTACCTAAAGAATCACTGCAATACTAGCATTTATTTATTGTTTGCCTTGAGCAACAAAATATATTGTTTTTAAATGGCTCTGAAATATATGATACTTAATTCTTCACCAAAATGGAATGACTGAAAAGAGTTATTATAGGTTTCTGCTTCTCTGAGTAACTTCCAAAACAAATCAATTTACATCAAAAGCAAAGCAGTGCGCTGTTTTATTCTTCCATCAAACCATACCCTACAATTTGCATTTCTGACACTTTTCAAGTTACTATATGTCCACCTTAAACTGTCAGTTACAGACACATAAATCTTAAATATTGTTATTGATGTTGGAATTCTACTTCTTTTCCCTAGATTACCTTCGGGAGCAGTTTAGCTTTTTCAACAATCACATACAAGTCAGACAGGCCACTCTGCACCAGCATCTTGGGAGCAACAACAGCCCTGGCGTGCTCCTCTGCTGCATTTTAGGGTGGGAGATGGGGGTTCTCTGGCACAAAGCCCAGGTGCCAGGGGCACAGCTGGACCCCGGGATCCCTCATTCCAGAACTAACCAGAGTTTGGGACCATGGAGCACACCCTTGAGCTTGCTCGGCTCCTCGGATAGAGCCACTGGCTTCAGAGCATTGGTGGTAGAAAGTGTTGGAAAGTATTGCTGCTTTTCTCCTTCCCATTGCAGGGGGGCTGTGCTGCCTCTGCCATTGGTCAAGAACTCCAAGAATTTCAAGAATTACAACTGCTTCACAGATAGCTTTCATTACAGCTTTGTAACATGCAAGTCATTCCCCAGCTACCACTATCTTCTACTTGCTTTGCAAGGAAAAACATAGAAGAGGAGGCCTAAACCCAGTAGCCTCCTTTTCAGACAGGCCATGCCTATCACACACAGAAACATCACCTTTTTAAGGATTTCCTAAACTGCTCTCTGATTGATAGAAAATCAAAGAAAATCAAAATCAAAATCAGAGTGATATAAAAAATACATTTTAAATAGATCAAATTCCTACCCAGCTGTAAAACAGTGCTCAGACTCAGAAGTTCAAAAATTCATCCTGCTATGCCTTTGCTGCTGGAAAATAAGTACTTCTCTATCACCTTGCATGGGGCACAACGGGCTCAGCCCTCCGTCCTGCTAATGCAATCCACAGCCTTTGCACCCCTGACACCCTCCTCAGATGGGGATGACAAGTAGTAGTTGTTCTGATGTTCGGGTGAAACAAAATTTTAATGTCACTCCTCTGAACTTTGCCTTTGTGTCTGCTGCTACGAGGACCTGAGACGACTCCTGGCCTCCACGGTTAAGGGATGGAGAACCGCACTTGGTGGAAGCGGCACCAACGTCGTGTAGAATAGTCATTCATGTCCAGGGTAGGGACCATACACCCAACAGCCCCTCTCTGGGCCTCTAGATCTAGGTCATCTCTCTAAGCTCTCTTTTCAGAGAACAGAGAAATACAGGTACTTTCAAGATATTTACATCTGTCCTACTTTAGGCAGCTAGAGAAGGATGAGATGAGATTGTGTCCTAAAAGCACCAATTTCTCATCACCAACTGGAAAAAACACGAGACAACCAGCTCAAGGCAGACAAACATAATGTAGACATTGTTCTCGAGAGACAGACTGACATTACGGGATGAAAAGATGTTATTTATTCTCAGGAAAAACAACCTTACTTCAGAGCTTGAGGTCATTCAGTTGCATTTAACACTGTACCTAGGCCAGCACAAAATTATAAAACATTCAATCTGCAAGAGTGAATAAAAATGATAAAAGTTTTCCAGACCAGAGGAATTACAGGCAAAAGTAGCATGGAAAGAACTTTAAGGCACTCACCTTATCTCCAGTACCAATGAGGAATTGATTTTCCAACCTTCTACAGAGTGCTGGAAGATTGAGGAGCCACCCTTTCGAGTTATTTTATCAGAGCTATTGATCATTGATCTACTCAAACTCAGCTCACCATCTCTGCAATGCAACACAGAAAAGACACAGTTATGTTAAGGCTGGTTCTAGTTTGAAGTAATTCAGATGGCAAGCACCAGGGATACTGTCTTTTCATACACAACAAAATGTAGCAATTAATTCCCTTCTCACCCACTCCATTCACCTAATGAAATGAACTACACCCTGTAGTTTATCTAAGGAGATCTGTATCTAATACTTTAATATTTGATCTATTTTCTTTTTATAGTTTTATTACAATAAACAAAAATCAGACATATACTGAGGCAAACCTGGTCTGACTTACTTTCTTACGGCTTGGAGTTTACTTACTTACAGTTTGGAGTTTATTGTGATTTTTGTTTATTGTAATAAAATTATAAAAAGAAAATAGCTCTAATACTGAAAGTTTGGGACTTAGGAGTGTACAATCTGTCTCACACATATACTGAGGCAAACCTGGTCTGACTTACTTTCTTATGGCTTGGAGTTTACTTACCTACAGATTGTACACTCCTAAGTCCCAAACTCTCAGTATTAGAGCTAGGAATTAAGACTTAACTCTCACTCCTTCTTCCGGCAGTTTCTCACATTATACAGCAACACTCTCATTACCTCTCATTGCCTCCTAACAGCATATCAGCCCACAGGGCCACAAAAGTCTAACAGGAAAGCCGAAACTCTGCAAGCAGGTCTCATGTCTTAGATCTAAAATCTGTTCTATCTCCATATGTTCAACCATACTGTTTCCATTTATACATCAGAGCAACATTCAGCTCTCTGAGTTCAAACATAGCTGTTTAATCCATAATTGTTTAATATATCACACTCCTTGGGTATAGCATCCGACCATGCAGGATGTCTCACATCTGAGATGCACAGCACAGTAATACAGAGAAATCTCTTGGTCTGTTAAGAAAGAGAAGCTTTCCCAGAAATTCTTCTACTACCTTCACCTGACTTGCAAATAGGATTTCTGACCAGCAGACATCTGACCACCAAAATGGGGCAGGAAAGCTGTTTCGTTACAGTCTCCAAAAGAGACCACAGGCTTTCTAGGGAAATTTTGGTTTGCCTGGTTCTCCAAGTGCTTAGAGCACAACGTGATCCTGCTCCATTGCAAGCGCTGCTGCAATGCTGTTACAGTAGATAAAAGTATTAACGTTTGGTAAATTATGCAGCAGATTAAGCTAGAACTAAGCTGCAACGGGACATTAACAAGCTTAAATGAACAAAACTGGTACCTAGTGCTCTGCAAAGAGCATTGTGACTGCAAAAGCTCCTGCAAGTGGCAAGTCATTTTACTCGAGAATTCTAACAAGATTTTTACATTTCATTCATTTTAAAAAATAGTGACAAATAAAAACGCACATACACACGCACAACGACTAGCCTCCGCACGTCCCTCCATCACCCCAGTCGCAGCGGGGACCCGCTCGCAGCTGACTCAGAGCTACGAGTGCCACCTACTGAACAGCCAGCCCCGCCAGGCAGCGCGGAGCAGGGCCGGAGCAGGGGTCCCACCACTCCTGCTCCCGCCAGCTCCGCCACCGGATGGGCACCTGCTGCCAGAGTCCCCACGCTGCAAAACCATTTCATAGTCACTTTTCAAGGTGCTTATTTTCCTATGCAGTGAGCAAGTTCACTGCTGTTTTCGTTTGCACAACTGTTAGGAATAGGTTTCTTGCCTGTATTCTCCTGCAGAAGGTCAGAGCGTAGGCACCCAATGGAAAATTTATCAAATGCATCAGACGAAGCTCTCAGCACAGAAGAGCTTCAGAAATGGCTCTAGTTGAGGCTGAGCAAAAAGTTTCTTATCGGACACTTTAACAGGGAAGCAAGTGACGGAATTTAGCAACAAATTATATTCCAAGCAGCTAAAATACTCAAGCATTTGAAATGTGGATGCCTCAAGTATTCACAATTTACATCTGTTAGGAACTTTGCATAAGGTAGGGAAAAACCATCCTAAGTTATCTCATCATGAACTGAAAGAAGGTCCTAAGCACTTTGTGTTAAAGCTCTACTAAGGACATGAAGATGTTTGCTTACACGCTCCTCTCACTTTTAGTAATAACATTATTTTAGATGAAAATTAAGCTAAGAGATGCAAAGAAAAACTCCATTTACACACACACACACACACACACACACACACACACAAAAAGTCTTCAAGTACGTGTGAAACAAACCGGGAGCACTTTGCATCTTCTAGAACTGCAGAAAATCTTGCTGATGTCAATAACACAACTGCTGCTGCTAAAAGTGATGGCAACTTGTGGCTTACGGTGCCAACCTCAACTCTGAACTACCTTGCTTTGGTGACCAACCAGACCACCATAAAAAGGCTGTATTGTACCCTGAAAACAGTTCATTAAGTATAAAAAAAGAAGATCTTTGGGCTTTAGAAAGCATACTTTCTATCAGCAGGATATAATGCAGTTTAAGATCATATTCCATGTAACACATGTGCTTTGTTCATTGCACAACCATGCATGGGACAGCATAGACCAGGAAATAAAGAACCATATGCTTTTACAGCCTGAGAGATTTTGCCATAAAAAGCATAAGATATTTAAGGTGCACAAGATGCAACAACATGAAACAAACTGACTTCGTATCCCTGTGCATCCCACCAGCACCAGCCAAGGTTCCCAGTCCTTTGGCTGGAAGCGCCGCACACAAAGTTTCACGGACGTGGGGACGCCCGGCCATCCCTGACCAGCCGGGCTGCAGCCCCGCCAGCAGCACGCACAGCTACGCCCGGACCCGCTTATTTTACCTCAGGTAACATTAAAGCACTGGTTCTTCATATACCTTGTATCTTTCATATACCTTGCAGCCTTGTAGATATTGGCAAACACAACATACCATAGGCTGGAGGTGTCATCTGGATTTTTTTTTTTTTCCCAAATATCAACCATTCATCTGTGGATCGTTTGAGCCATGTCTGAGATGCAGGACCGCATACACTGAAATATGGGTCCCTACACCTACTGCTACCGCCGTTCCCGCCGCGCCGCTCCGCACCCGCGCTCCCGGCACAGCAGCAGCCCCGCGGCTGCGCGCGGAGCCCCGCGTGGCAGGAAGCCCAACTTCTTCCCGGGATAGCTGCGAGTTCGGGAGAGGAAAGCGAGGAGAGCGGCTCATGGAGAGGCTCCGCGCCCGCTCCATGCGAAGGGAAAGGAAGGGGGCAATCCCGCGGCCGCCGGCACCGCCCCACGGGGCGCGCAACTTCGCGGCGCTCCGGGACAAAACTTGCGCGGCGGCTCCGCGCCGGCCCGCCAACGGGGGGTGTTTGGGTGCCTGGGGGGGTGTCGCGCCCCGCGTGCGCGCCGCCGCGCCGCGCGCTCACCCGGGCAGCGGGGCCTCCTGGCGCTCCTCGGGGCGCGCGATCTCCTTTGTCTTGTAGACGATGAGGAGGATGCTGATGGTGCACGCCGTCCAGCGCTTCCGCACCGCGCGCATGGCGCCCGCCGCCGCCCCTCGCCTTTGTCTGCTGCCCGCGCCGCGCGCGCGGAGCAGCGGCGAAGGTTTA